TTGGTGGTTTTTAACATGATGCAAAACACAAGGTGTTACATCTGGTGAATACATTTTGGCTAAGTGGAGTTGCAACCACAAGTTTTGGAGGTGAAGCCTATATAGACCCCTCCATCTCATGCATTATGGCTCTCTTAGCATTTTGAAGTTCTAGCTACAACATTGGGCATCCAAGAGAGTGTTTTGGCCAATTGGAGTTATTGAGATTTGCTAATCAAAGACTAAGGACTCCATTTGTGATGAGGACATGACACCTAAAAATGGCTATTGAATACAAGGTGAGCTCGTTCCTATATTTACGTAATGATATTAATAAGAAATTGATGCTACCTAATGTTGTTACTTTTTAACATACTTAGGAACAATGATAATAATGATGTGAACTTGGGAAAGATGCTTCTTATGGCCTCTACAACAGATGGGACATGGATACACCATGCACAAGACTAGTCTTGGAGTGCAAGCTCATCGAAGCTCAACATTCGGTTTGTTGATAGCCCAATAGTGCTTCATTGGAACAGCTATAACTCATCCATTCGGACTATGGGCACTTGATGGAAAGCTTGTGTGATAAGCTTTCAAATGGATCTATTCCCACATCAATTAGCGCATAGGGGTAGCAAGCGTACATCCACTCTTCTCATTAGGCTTGGTTAGGTCAAGTGAGAGTTCATGCTTATTACTCTTGCTGATCGACATCATCTAGATAGCTTGAAGATGTTGTGGAGCTTGGTGATCTCTCGGTGGCGATTTCGAGAGGCTCAACTCATTGGTGTACACGGTTTGGTGCCCGATCCACCATTTCATAGTGGGGAAGGATCAACCGTTATAGAGCTCTTGGACCTTACTCAGATCAAGGGGCAGTAATACCTTGTGAGGTGCTCCAGCGAGAACTAATGGGGAGTATCGATTCTCCGATACCTTGTGAAAAAATCGATGTGTTCCTAACCTTTTCTTTACCTTGAGAGTTTACTTGCATACAATTTACATTCCTAGAGTTGTCATGTTAGAATTGGGTTGGAACTAGTGTGCAAAACTTTGTGCGGTAGGCTTAGAAGACTTGTTTAGGCACTAGGGAGAAATGAGCTAAGCGATAGGTCTAATTTCCGCTGAGAATTTTGGAGTAGCCCAATTCGTAACCCTCTCCCCTCTTAAGTATCTCGATCCTTTAGTATTCCAATACGTTTTAGAATCAGACTCTATATCGTGATCGGACGTGTGCTATTCTAATAACTCCTACAAACACAGATCATGGACTGGATAGATAAACCAATTATAATTGTTATCTGAGTACTCCCTCATTCCAAATTGTAAGTCGTTCTTACTTTTCTAGGTATATAGCTATTGTTGTGCAACTAGATATAATATCTAAGTGTGAACTGGACAATAAACCAATTATGACTCTTATCTTGTACTGTCTTCTTTCTAAATTGAAAGTCGTTCAAGCTTTTCTAGATATAAACTATTGCTATTCATCTATATATAATGTCTAGGTGTATAGTTTGTATTAAAAAGGCAAGAACGGATTGCAATTTGGAACGGAGAAAGTAACTGTTACGAGGCATAAGGTTCGTACACGTATATATGCAACGCCTGTCGACTTTCTGGAGTGAACTCGCACTGGATTTTTTTAAGCCAGCTACGTGTCATGCGACCGAGCATGCTCGGACTGGTGAGTGAACTCGTAGTCAAGGTGGACGAAGGCACGCTCGACACCAGGCAGCCGCTCCTGCAGAGCGTCGCTTGGGCCTCTCACAAAGGCCAGAGGCATGGCGCACCGCTCACAGGCGAAGGACGGTATCCACCTCAACGAAGTAGTGGGAACCGAACGTGTACGCCCCGCCTGCACCGTGCGCCTCAGAGTCACAGCCTTGTAGTGCCTGGTTCCAGCAGACTGATCGACCATCAACCAGGGAGTGGACGTTTTCCAGCACCATCATCGACATCGACCATGTCCTGAATCCAGAAAGGCTGATGGTATATGTCACGAGCTGCAAATGTGTAGAGGAATTAACATCAACACGTCGTATTTTGTTACATGTAGTCTCGCAAATGCCCCTGTTCATCATGTACTACCTTTATTTTTCATATATTTTCGAAAACTAATAAAAATAAAATTTGAAAGATTGAATTGACCTTGAAACCCATGGTGTGCGCCACGCCACTTGCATTGGAGCTGGAACCTCACATTGATTAGCACAACGTTTTAGGTTGAGTTGTCATTGACGATTGCGTATTGCAATTGAGCCCGTGTTTAGTGGCCAGGCCAAATTCCAAAAAAAGTGCTACAGTACCCATCACATCGAATCTTACAATACGTGCATCGAGCATTAAATATAGACGAAGAAAAAAACTAATTGCACAGTTTGGTTGGAAATCACGAGATGAATGCTTTGAGCATAATTAGACCATGATTAAACGCTAATTATCAAATAAAAATGAAAGTGCTACAGTAACCCAAAATCCAAAATTCACCCAACTAAACACCACCTGATAACACCAATGCAATCGAGTCGCCTGGTGCCATCACAAAGTTTGAGCAACCGACAAGGCCTATGTAAAAAGAAAGTTAGTAGCCTGATCCTACTAGCATTAAAATTTCAAAGGCGAAGGTAGTAGTACTATTTTAGTACTATTTTGGTACTACTTTGATCCAACTACTGCAAGTGGACACTTTCAAGATTTCTGACAGCTTGCATTGACTTGTTTCTCTTATCGAGCCCACCGCGAGCATATAGTTTTTAGGTCCACGCCTGTTGCGAAAAACTCAAGGTCGACTCTGCAACGTCAACCACTGCAGGAGGAAAGAATTTTTCTGGTGATCAGCGGATGCCTGTGTTGAACTGTTGATATTCAAACATGAAGTTAAGACGTAATGCAGGTCGTCGTTTACTAGTTCCACTCTGAGCAGAATGCTAGAACCTTATCACAAAAAGTAGTTAAACCATGGGCCTCATTATTATGGGTGATCTCGTTATCTTTTGATTGCCGTGTCTGTCACCAGCTGTACAAGTTTCACTGTGCTGGAGAGAATTGTCAAACGCATATCAGCCTGTTCGTTTGACTGTGGCTTGTCGTAAACGATAGTAAATTTTCAGCCGGAACAGTATTTTTCTCTCACACAAACCAGCCAGCAGTACTTCTTCACGAACCAGCAACGAAACGAACCAGCCAACCGAACAGGCTGTATGTAGCAATGAAAGTCATATGCATGCATATTTGAGGGTATTGTAGTATAGTACATGATTTTTGCAGGTTTTTGAACCGAAACAATTTATTACAAGCAGAAAGCCAATTAAAAAAAAAGCTCAAGTTACCGCAAGGACCCATAATCCTTGTGGAAGATACATTTTTCATATTGTTCTCAGGTCAGGTGACATGGATTCTGTATTAAAGCATGGAATTTGCTAGTACCATACTTATCAGTTCTGTATGTATGGTCCTTAGTCCAAGAACCCTATATATGCACACAAGGAGACACAACTTCTAAGTGAACTAAAAGAATAACCCATGCGCTGCCTCAGATTTTCTTAGAAATAAAATTATTACATCATTACATTTGATATTGTCAAAACAGGGCAAGCTAACGAAAGAATCTAATAAAAAGCTAATATGATATTATGTCGGAATTATAGGCCGATGGGTCAGTCAAATAAATAGTACTATGATGTGAGTGCTTTATGCTCTCTCCGTCTTAAAAAGAATAGAATTCTCATTTGTTGATGAGTCAAATAATTTTAAGTTTGACCAAAATATACATATAACAAGTACTGATAGTTTCGATCTGTAATAAGTATCACGAGATTAATAATGGGATATATTTGCATAATAAACCTATTTGAAGATACAGATGTTGATATTATTTTTTATAAACCTAGTCAAACTTAGAATCATTTCACTCCTCGGAAAGCGAGACTTCCATTAATTCTGTTTCGGACGAAGGGAGTACATTGATAGATTAAGCCCGTGTTTAGTTGGCTGCATTTTGGATTTTGGGCTACTGTAACACTTTTGTTTTTATTTAGCAATTAGTGTTCAAACATGGACTAATTAGGCTCAAAACGTTCGTCTCGTGATTTTCAATCAAATTGTGCAATTAGTCTACATTTAATGCTCCATGCACGTATCGCAAGATTCGATGTGATGGCTACTGTAGCACTTTTTGGTAATTTGGGTTGAAACTAAACACGGGCTAAAAATAGTACTACCTCCATCCTAAAATAAATCAATTCTTACAATTTAAATTTTTAAATTTGGCCAGCTTTGTAGGAAAGGTAATACCTCCATGACACCAAATAAGCATATTAGAAAAAATATATTTCATGATATGTCTAGTGATACTAATTCAGTGTCATAAATATTGGTGTTTTTCTCTATAAAGTTGGTCGAACTTAGGGCTTGTGGAGGTGGATGCATACAGAATAGTAATTGTACTTAGTGGAAGGTGATGATGGGATCATGTGACAAGGATAGTTTGTATGTCAAATTGATAGTAGCTTATGTAACTGGACCCAGCTTTCACCTATACGAGACAAAGCAGTCCAGTCACACAAAAAAAAACTTTCACACATTCAGCACCAGTAACAAGAACGAAAAACGGTGATAGTACCTCGATGGATATCACTAAAGAAAACACCAACAATGGCATCAAATAATAAAACTTTATGCCATCGATAATTTATGGAGATGACTTAAAGAAGCTAGGACTTCAGCATGTCATCGAGAGCCTAAAAAGTTAATAGAGCTAAGACAAATCGTGAATTGTAACCACTTCGTTACTTGCATAGTTACATGTACTTAATGGTCAAGTCAAGAAGCTCCATTAATTCCAGTGAATATTAAAAGCCTCCACTTGGTCTTCTATTGAAACACCACTATCATTAATGTGCATGCTCTGTTAAGATAAAGAACCACTGCATGGCCGAAAGCACTATAAATACCCAAGCAGACTTCACTGGAACTCTCATCTCAACTCAAATACTCTCTAGCGGTAGCTCACAATGGCAGGCACAAAGCTAATATCACTAGGGCTCATTGTTCTCATGAGCATGGGATTAGCAAATGCTGTGAGGGTGGCTAGATACTCTAGTGCTGATGGGTCGGGACAAGGAGGGGGAGGGGGTGGCGGATATGTGAATGGTGCGGGATTAGGGTCTGGGTCTGGCACCGGATTAGGTGACAGTGGTCCGAATGGTGCCCATGCAAGTGCTGGAGGGGGTGGCGCTGGTGGTGGAACTAGCCAAAATGGTGGGTCTGCATGGGGTGTAGGCTTAGGTTCAGGTTCAGGGAGTAGTACATATAGTGGTATTGGAGAATCTTCCAGTGCTGGTGGTACTGGTGGGGGTGGAGGTGGTGGAAAAGCTGGAGGTTCTTGGGACTCCAGTGCTCAAGGGTCTGGTAGTGGCATCGGATCTGGCTCTAGCTATGCTAACAGGTATTGGAACGGACCAAGTTATGCAGGTGCAAGTGCTAATGGCAATGGTGGTGGCAATGGGAACAGCCAAAATGGTGGGGCTGCTGGGGGTAAAGGTGCTGGATCTGGGTATGGCGATGCCAACCCCTGATTTTTGTATCAAGTCAATCTAAAGTTGGAGCCCATCATCCTTTCTTGTTTGAAGACACATAATTATTGTTTTTTTTTGCTATGCTTTTGTTAGAATTGAATTAATAAAGGGCCCAACTGTGTCTATTGTAAGCCTTTAAGGTGCAGCATATGAGAAGAAGTAGGCACGCCAGTTCATGAAAGAAATCATACTCCTTTGTCATGTGGTCACTATTTTTTGAAAACTGTCATGTGGTCACTATGTCTGAAGAATTTTTTTAGAAAAAAAAAATGTTTGAGGTTATTAAGTTCATCAGAAGCCTACACCATGCACATCACATGGTTGTGATCTATCAATGAAATTACTTGAGTAGCTTATGATCACTTACAATGATAGCTCTAACTGGGTCAATCCAGGCTTGAACATAAGTAGCAAGAAGTGCAGCCACAAGCCCAATAACGTTGGTGATAACATCAAAAAGGTGATCCTGCACATAGGCCTTAACTATTTCATTGGTGAATGTTCAGCAATCATTGTCCCAGGAGAAGCTTCATCAGTGTCACTGAGAGCATAATATTGACAACTCACTTTTCCTGCTCTTTTGTCAAGCAGAACTCATCTCCCTGGAAAGCAAAATAATTAATATCATCAGTACCAGCTACAGAAAGATTCAAAAGTAAAAGCTGCAATTCCAGTAACCACTCTTCATACAGAAACTGATCCTTGATCCATTCGCTATGTCTACCCAAGTTATTAGGACCGGACCGGAGATCGAACCGGCGAGGCTGTCGGTTCACCGGTTCACTGGTCCAACCGTTTAGAACCGGTTGAACCGCCGGTTCAATTGTTTTGGACCGTTGAATCAAACCGGCCAGAAATATAATGAACCGATATATATATATATATATATATATATATATATATATATATAATTAATAATTTATAGATGGTAAACAACACAAATTAATTGTTCAACCATAAGATTCATACATGCAAATTAATTCAAAACATCAAGTGTGAGAATAATCTCATTGTGATAATTCAAAACAGAATAAATAGAATAGTAATTGAAATATTCACAAATCACAAATGCAGAACAATCTCAAATGCTAAATATAAGTGCACCATTGCAAAGAGCTCGTTGTGGTGATCAAAATAGATATATTATTTGTCTAATTTGGAGCTAGTATGAAAAAGATATGAAAATTTGAAATTTATATATTATACATATTATTTAATATATGTATTATATATTTAATTTGGTGACGTCACAGCCACCAAAATTCAAACGGGACACACATCCTCTCCAAAGCGTGATGCGTGAACACCTGCGGCAGTAACAACCAGGCGGGGGCCGCAGCGGGACGTACCCACAGCAGTGGCACTGTGGCAGGCGCAGGCGCATGCGCCCGTCACCCGGGGACCAATCAGGAGCAGGCGCAGTGACACACGCTGACTACCAGCATCGACTCGGCCGGTTCGCATGGAACCGCCCGGTTCGCCGGTTCCGTAAAAAACCGGCCGGTTTAATCGGTTTTTAGCGGTTCGATTGCATAGACGGTCTTTTAAGTGAACCGGACCGGTCTAAGCTCTGGTTCGGTCTTTTAGCGGTCCAACCGCCGGTCCAGTCCGGTCTGAATAACTAGGATGTCTACTATGCCAGCAGGCAGGGAGGATGAGATAAGAGCAAACGCACTAGTAGTACGGTAGTTGGTCACCGAGTAGTGGAACCAGACAACCAGGGTTCAAATCCCAGCTTAAGCACCCAAAAAAAAATTGTTATGCCTCCCCGCGAAAAATAGTGGCAGGGTGCCAGCCTAAGGTGCGGCCCTTATAGAGTGAGGCCAGGGTTTAGAGGTTTTCTTGGCTGGTTTTGCTGAGGTTTCTTCTTAGCGCAAAGCCGTGGGGGCGGTCTTTCCCCCACCCCTGTCGAGTTTTTTTACAGGATAAGGAAGAGACATAGACTTACATTGGATACCAATGAGCGTGTAGATTCTAGGATGATTTAAAGGCCAAGCATTGCACAGGCAAGCAAAAGTTACTATAACCTGTATTACAGATTGTGGTAAAGTTGTCCAAAATTGCAAGTAATAGGACCTCGACCTATTGAAATACCAGCTCCCATAAATAACATCATAAAAGGCATAATTGTGACCAATGTCCGGTCTCCCAAGAACAAATGTTACACACCTAAAATTGGAATAGAAGGCCATTACTTTTATCCATTTGTTATTTAACTGGAAGTACTTTATTTTCTTTTACATGTTGTTCTAGTTCGATTTGCTGAATTAATATCTCGGAGAGACGTCCTTTCTAGCGACAATATGGAAGGACTGTTGAAGATAGCAAAGGACAATGAAATGCTCAATCATTCTATTCAAATGGAATCGAATGCAAGAAATGGAAGTAAGAGTATGTCATACACTCATACTTGATGTGGAACTCACCAGAGGTTGCATGCGCCTTATACATACTGGGTATCTGTAATTCTGTATGTATGGATTTGGTGTTTGCATGGAAAAGGCAGTAAACTACAATATAAACCCGGATAAGAAGTCCAGTGGAGAATCCAAGGCAGAAAGCAATAATGGCCAGGGAGCCACTCCACTACAATATAAACCATGTTTGCAATGTTACATGATTGGATAGCCCAAATCTCTTTTCAGGCAACTGGTCACGCTCTTCCTGCAAGTAGGATGATCTACAGGTAAAAGAATTGCTTCATTTTGGGGGGGAAATGCTGCACATTTTTTCTGCAAGGAAGTGTTTTCTCTTTGATTTTTTTCCATGTCACAATCAGAGGAAGAGTACACAACAAACCGTAGATATAGCAGGAAGGAAACAACGATTTGTCAGTGTGTCCATTTCACTAAAACTTTCCAGCAATTTCCAACTGTTCTTGGTAGTATTGTGCAACACCATCTGTAGGGCCTTGAGCTGCATATAGAGTTCAAGATGGTGCATTAGAGACTGGACTACACCAACAGGATCCAAACAATTCTACAGCATTTCCTTTTTCTGAAAAAAAAAACAATTCTACAGCATTAGTCTCAGAGGAACTCGAACCGCAAGAATATATTTCGAGAACAAACAGAAACATATGCACATGAATCAAAGTATCCAATTCAGTTGGATTTCGTTTGTGTGTATACAATTTACAACAGGGAAACGATGGTCAGAATAAAAAAAGTATATAGAGAAAGAAAAGGGCAAGAAGCAGGATCATGTAAATACCCGTCCGAAGGGAACGACAACGTCGCGCAAGGCACCCCTGGCATGATCCAGGGCTTCCAGCACGGATGCGGTCTCCACGTCGAGGCTCTCCTACTCCATGCTCTCGCCGGCATCATCGAGGGTGAAGAGCGTCGACGCCGGATCCTGCAGATTTGTCCATCGGAGCACGGGCTTGCCCCACGCGGGCAAGTCACTGTCTACCGACGTCAGCGCCAGGGATGACTCCCCGCAAGTCCCAAGCGCCGCCGACCTCTCTACCACAACCATGACTCCGGGGAACCCTCAGCCATGTCCCCTCCATCCGGCCCACGCCAGGCGCCGTCGCTTGGGCCGCCAATGGCGCGGGTCGCGCCGGTGCCTCTGGCGCCACTACGGTTGCACCCGGTGGTGACCCGTCAGTCACGGCCGCCACCAGCGTTGGCGGGGTCACGACTAGCTACGTCGCGCCCACCATGGTCGGCCGCCCCGTTCGCCCCATCGTTGGCAGCGGTATCTCAGCCATCGCCGGCTGCTCCGCGACCTCTGAAGGTGCCCTTTGAGCCCCCACGTCCATCCATCCCACTGAGGGCACGAGCGCCACCATGGGTGGTGTTCGACCGGTCGACAATGCAGTCACGTTGGTGCTGCTCTCGCCCGAAACAGGTGCGACACCAGCCGATGGTTGCCGCCTCAATTGGAGGGCAAAGCTCTTCTTCGGTGCCAGCGCCAAAGGATTGTGTTGTCTGCCGATGCTGCAAGGGACGAAAAGCATAAGTCACGATGAAATCTGACTAAAACAGGAAAAAAACAGAGGAACTGACAACTCACCTCAACGCGTCGTCGGGTGGCAGATGCGTTTGGGGAGCGAACCCCCCGACCTTTGGTCCACCTCATAGGGGTGAGGCCGTTTTGAGCCTGCCCCCTAGTCCTGGGCAGAGGGGCTCACTCCCCTTGACTCTTGGGACGCGATGGTGGAGCCACCCGCCTCCGTTGACATCTCAGGCACGACAGTAGAGCCGCCCGCCCCCGTTGACTCCTGAGGGAGGCCGACAGCATGTCCCGCCTCCACCGGCTCCCCGGACGTACCCTTCCCTCTATGGAATGGGAAGGGTCCTGACTCGTGTAAGGATGAACCAATACCTGTCAGTGCATCCTCATTCTTTAGGATGTCCCACTCGACATCGTCAGCTACCTCATCACCATCGCCATCATCATCATCGTCGACGTTGTAGGTGTCCTCCCCTCGTTCCCACGCCTACAGCTTCCGCTGCCTCTTCCTCTTCTTGTCCTCCTTCGCCTTCCTCAGCCGCTCGCCCTCGACATGATTCGCCGCCCTCATGGACGAATCCCTCGGCAGCGGCACCGGGTGATCCATGAAGACGAGGTCCCTCAGCTGGTCCTGCCCCACTCAAAGTTAGTATTAAGAGGTCGGAAAATCTATTGAAGAGAAGACATGAGAAAGGTAAACTTGCGAAGACGACGTGGCCTGGTTCCGACCGCATCGGAGGATGTCCCGGCACCAAGTAGATGAAATCCAGGGGGGCACCCACATCATCCCATGAGAGCTCCATTGCCTCCTTGATGCGTTGCGTGATCTCGAGTTGGGGAGTGCCCCCTCGGGCGCCATCGCATACAGCAGGAGCACGCGCGTCATCAACGGCGCCACCCTCCTTGCGTGGTAGGCCCCGATGACGCCTGACCCCTTCAAGCCATTCTCCTTGAGGATGTGGATGGCGGCGATGTGGTCCCGGATCTTCTTCTTGTCCTTCTCCGGGACACCCCACTTCCTCCATGACTCTGAGGCCTCT